TTCTTTGCTGTGTTCAAGAGTAAACACATGATGTCACCATCTAATACCTTTCCTAATAGCCATTCCAATATGCAGTCATGAATGGGTTTACATTATTTATTCTGTAGTTTAATAGCAAATAATGAACAAACAAAACACTCACCACACTGAGTGGTGGGAGGGCTGGCTGCCAGTTGTGGGGGTCGGAGGGAGGGTAGTAGGAACTCGCAGTGGTGGAGGCATTGGTGGATTCTGTGGTATTTAATAACTTAAATGTTATTAACATACATGTTATTAAATAACATACGTTATTAAAGCATAACATGTATATATTTAGTACAATTTACGACGTTTTCATGTATTTTATGATTATTCATGGTTCAACAAGTTAAGGAAGCAGTATTGCAATATATTTCCCTACAGTATATTGGGGGACCAAACATTCACGGTTTTTCAACATTCGCGAGGCTCTTGATCCCCTAACCCTCGCGAATGTTGAGGGAGACCTGTATATAAACATGTACATGTATGTGTAGTGTGACCTAAGTGTAAGTAGAAGTAGCAAGACGTATCTGAAATCATGCATGTTTATGAGACACAAAAAAGACACCAGCAATCCTACCATCATATAAAACAATTACAGGCTGTCGTGTTACACTCACTTGGCAGGACGGTAGTACCTCCCTGGGTGATTGCTATATACATATGGTATATTACATTAATAATTTCATGTAGGAATGAGAGCACTTAAAACAATTGAACTCAGAATATTCAGTATATGACTGATAATTCTTGAAACTACCAGTAATGGTCAGCCAACCCACTCATCATAGGTTAGACTCTCTACCATTTCAGATTTTTTTTTTTTAAAGTGGACACTGGGAGCAATATTGATTTTGGGGCTCTGGATAGTGAAAGGGTTAAATTGTGCCCAGAGCACCAATTTTGCACCTTTGTAATTCCATAAATTTTTCCATAAATTTTTTTTTATTTCTGGTCTTATTACCTTCAGAAAAAAATAATTACAATTTCTAAATTTTTTTTTTAAATCCTGACACTATCAGCACTTAATTTTAGGGACCCTGACAGCGAATGGGTTAACCCTTTGAGGGTCCAAGCCTTGTCCACAGGGCCTAAGCTGTAGCTATACGCCATGAGCTCAGCTCACTCAAACAAGCTGTGAGTGGTAAATTTGGGCCTAGATATGAGAGAATGGATATAGTATGTGGTAAGTGTGCACCATATAATGCCTTTTCTAAATCCATAAATGCAATGAAAACTTCCCTACCTTTATCTAAATACTGTTCACATATATGTTTCAATGTAAACACTCGATCTACACATCCCCTACCCACACTAAAGCTGCCTTGCTCATCTGCAATTCTACTCTCTGTCTTACCTCTAATTCTTTCAATAATAACCCTACCGTACACTTTTCCTGGCATACTCAGTAAACTACTACTACTTTCTTTCAACACACCGGCCGTATCCCACCGAGGCGGGGTGGCCCGAAAGGAAAAACGAAAGCTTCTCCTTTTACATTTAGTAATCTATACAGGAGAAGGGGTTACTAACCCCTTGCTCCCACTCAGTAAACTTATTCCCCTATAATTTTTACAATCTCTTTTGTCTCCCTTCCCATTATGTAAAGGAACTATACAAGCTCTCTACCAATCCCTAGGTACCTTCCCCTCTTTCATACATTTATTAAACGAAAGTACCAACCACTCCATCACTATATCCTCCCCTGCTTTTAATATTTCTGTCATGATCCCGTGAGTTCCAGCTGCTTTACCCCCTTTCATTCTATGTAATGCCTCACGCACCTCCCCCACACTCGCATCCTGCTCTTCTTCACTCCTAAAAAATGTTATGCCTCCCTGACCAGTGCATGAAATTACAGCCTCCCTTTCTTCTTCGACATTTAAAAGTTCCTCAAAATATTCCTGCCATCTACCCAGTACTGCCATCTCCCCATCTAGTGACTCCACTACTCTGTTTTTAACTGACAAATCCATTCGTTCCCTAGGCTTTCTTAACTTGTTTATCTATAAAGCCAGGAAATGTAACTAATAAACAGAGGAAATGTTATTTTAGTGCCAGAAATGTCTGCATTGTTTATTCTGAACCCTATTTTCAAATTTGAATATTTTGAACTTTGTGTGAAATTGGCCAAATTACCAGTTTCTGATCACTTTATTAGGTAGCTGAAATAGTTGATTAGGCAGTTTCTTGTGCTCAGTCAATAAAATAGAAGTGATACTAGTGAAATAGCTAAGAATTTGGTTGACTGGTATAATGTAATTGGCCTAAAATAGGAGTCAAAGCGGGCAAAATCGCCGATATATAAATATTGCTGATGCAGTAAAATTCGTGATGGTGTAATTTCGTCAGTTTTCCATCAAATTTCATACTTCTTGCTTTTTTGCCTTCAGAAAAAGATTCTCCACCATTTCATAAAGAAAATTAACACATTTTTTTTTTAAATTATTGGTCCCTGTGGACAAGGCATAGAACTACAGCTTGGACCCTCAAAGGGTTAACAGGCAAAAATCTTGATGCAGTGGACTTGGTCCTTTATCAAGGTAATCTAACAGGGTCTGGACAAATTGCAAGATTGGTCAGATAAACTGTTGCTTCAGTTGAACCCCAGCAGATGGAAGGTTATGAAGACTGGGGAAAGAGCCTAAGGCTCAAAGAGAAAGACCTTGGGAGTAAGTATAGTGCCTCTTATATTGCCAGAGGCTCACACCAACCAAATAACCTTGTCAGCCAATGCTTGTCTGGCAAATCTAAAAGTTGACTTCATGAATCTCGCCAATCATTGTGGTCTCCGTATAAAACATGTTAAGCCCACTGGTATGGAACCCACACCTGAGGAAGCATGTTAAGAAACTGGAGAAAGCATAGACATATACAGTGAGGGTTGTTTCTAAATTAATGCGCATGAGCTGTGAAGGGAGGCTAATGGAATTGAGTGCAACTACATTGGAGGACAGAAAAACCAGGGAGGCATAACAATGTACAAAATACTCAAGGGAATTGATAGGGTAGAAAGTAAAAGGATGTTTGAGAGGAGAGACTTGGGAACCTGGAGACACAGCTAGAAGTTAAAGATATGGATAAGCCACAGGGATGTTAGGAAGTATTTTTCAGTCTCAGGATGGTCAGGAAGTGAAATGATCTCAGTGAGGAAGTGATGGAGGCAGGTTCCATGCATAGTTTTGAGACCAGGTATGACGGGGCCTAGGAGGGAGTGAATTTGGCAAGCAGCAGGTTGAGAGGTGGGGCCAGAAGCTAAGACTCAGTCCCTGCAAGTATACACAAGGCAGTACAAATAGGTGAATACAAAATATTTGTCTTGCAATCTTAGTCCATTGTATCAAACAGCTCTCAGGTCAAGTATTTTGTTCATTATATCTGATATCTTTTACATAGGGGTCCTTTTTACCTTCCAAATTTGTTTTAATTTTTGCAGCTTCAATTGGATTTTGATTTAGGTTTTTTTTTTTTCTGAGAGATTTTTTATTGGGGAAATTAGTACTACATTGAAATTAATGCAGGAGCATCACCATCCAAACTGACAAAAATGGTCTTTGTGGGACCTGGCTCTGGGGGTAATGATCCTGAGGATGTTCTAGTCAATGACTGATGTTGTTATGGACATGGTCCTACTAAGACAGTCATTGTTGAGCAGGAGATGGTGTGGAGACTTTATTTAAGACTAGAGGTCAATTCGGACTTTAGGTGGATGTTATTCACTTATCTTAACCCTTAAACTGGCTTTATTGTGCTCTAGTGGTGCATAAGACACTATTGGCAGCAACTTTTGTACAGGACGTAGTAAGAATGTTTGGCATTGCTACTGTTGATGTTAATCTCAGTTCTTCTTTAACCCTTTCACGATCCACAGGCCCTCTCCGAGACTTGTTCTCAGGGTCCCCCAAATTTCAAAAAAAAAAAAAAGTTATTTTTTCTTATGAAAAGATAGAGAATCTTTCCCGATCATAATGACACCAAAAGTATGAAATTTGATGGAAAACTTACGGAATTATGCTCTCGTGAAGTTAGCGGTCTCGATGATGTTTACGCATCGGCGATTTTGCCCACTTTGAGCCCTATTTTCGGCCAATTCCAATGTACTAGTCGACAAAACTCGTAACTATTTCACTAGAACTCCATTTTTTCTATCGAATGAGTACAAGAAACCACCCATTTACCAATTTCGACTATCCAATACAGTGGTCAGAAATTAGCAATTTTGCCAATCTCGCACAAATTTCAAAAGATGCCAATTTCCGAATAGGGTCCAGAATAAACAAAAAAGACATTCCTGGCACTAAAATAACATTTCCTCTGTTCATTAGTCACGTCCCCACGCCCTTCTTACATTCTTTTGCTTTTCACTTTGAATTTTTCTTCTCAAAAAAAAAATAGAAGATTTACTGTTATGCAGACTAATGCATTAGTGTAGAAATGGTATAAGTAATATCAGCGCACTTGTGAAAGAATATTAGACTCACCAGTTGACGTGTATTGGACGCATAGCATGATTTGTTTACTTTTGAACTTTGGTAAAAATCGAACATTTCTGCTACTTTGAGCTCAATTTCAAGGTACTTTTCATTGTAAAACCAGTCAAAATCATCTCTATTTATGTAATATGTCTTCCATTCTATAAAATGAGACCAGGAAAGCTAGAATACAACAATAAATACCATACAAAAATACAGTGCAAAGTCTCTGTTTTAATCCAAAAACACGGTCAAAGTTTTATTTTTCTCCTTACACACTGTGTGCTGCAGGATTTTTTTTATACTGTGCACACTGACCACATAGATCCATTCTTTCATATGTAGGCCTACCAGCTTTCTCTCACTAGATTTGAGGGTGCTAGAATTTATGCGTTCTAGTACATCATGGACCCTGGTGCGTAAGCCGTACTAGTACGGCCGAAACCCTGAAAGGGTTAAGGATCATTGTTGGTGAAATATGTTATATAATGTACAATTTCTTTCCAGATTTTCTTAGATGAAGGAAAAGTGAAGGTGGAGGTTTCAGCAACAAAAACCCCAGGCAAGGTTGTGCTTGACAATTTTGACGTCTCATACAACGATGGCCGTTGGCACAAAGTGATGTTCACCATCGCTGAGAATAGCATGGAGCTTAGTATTGATGATGTACCCATGAAGACTGTAAGAATTATCTCCATCACATCTGGGAAATATTTCCTAGTTGGGGGTAAGTTGTATTGTACATTGATGGAATTCTTGTAGAATAAATGAGCTATAGCTAGTCTTAAAACTTCCAAAAGAAATTTTAATGTTCTCTATTTTAAAAAATGTAAATGTAAAAGTTTATTCCAGTCTGGTTTGAGTGATGATTTTAAATTAAAAATAATTTATCAGAATTTTTTGAGAAGTTATTTTGGGTAGTGCTGTAATTTTTGTGTGGCACTAACAAACCTTGTACATGCCAATACTATTTGTTGTAGATATCTAGAAGGTATGATGTAGCACGTAATGAAAGTAGTTTGTTAGATTATGTATTGGTGGATAAAAGGTTGATGGGTAGGCTCCAGGATGTACATGTTTATAGAGGGGCAACTGATATATCGGATCATTATTTAGTTGTAGCTACAGTTAGAGTAAGAGGTAGATGGGAAAAGAGGAAGGTGGCAACAAGTAAGAGGGAGGTGAAAGTGTATAAACTAAGGGAGGAGGAAGTTTGGGCGAAATATAAGCGACTATTGGCAGAAAGGTGGGCTAGTGCAAAGATGAGTAGTGGGGGGGGGGGGGTTTGAAGAGGGTTGGAATAGTTTTAAAAATGCAGTAAGTAGAAGTGGGGGCAGAAGTTTGTGGTTATAGGAGGGTGGGGGCAGGAGGAAAGAGGAGTGATTGGTGGAATGATGAAGTAAAGGGTGTGATAAAAGAGAAAAAGGTAGCTTACGAGAGGTTTTTTACAAAGCAGAAGTGTTATAAGAAGAGCAGAGTATATGGAGAGTAAAAGAAAGCTGAAGAGAGTGGTGAGAGAGTGCAAAAGGAGAGCAGATGAAAGAGTGGGAGAGGCACTGTCAAGAAATTTTAATGAAAATAAGAAAAAATTTTGGAGTGAGTTAAACAAGTTAAGAAAGCCTAGGGAAAGTATGGATTTTTCAGTTAAAAACAGAGTAGGGGAGTTAGTAGATGGGGAGAGGGAGGTATTAGGTAGATGGCGAGAATATTTTGAGGAACTTTTAAATGTTAAGGAAGAAAGGGAGGCGGTAATTTCATGCACTGGCCAGGGAGGTATACCATCTTTTAGGAGTGAAGAAGAGCAGAATGTAAGTGTGGTGGAGGTACGTGAGGCATTACGTAGAATGAAAGGGGGTAAAGCAGCTGGAACTGATGGGATCATGACAGAAATGTTAAAAGCAGGGGGGATATAGTGTTGGAGTGGTTGGTACTTTTGTTTAATAAATGTATGAAAGAGGGGAAGGTACCTAGGGATTGGCAGAGAGCATGTATAGTCCCTTTATATAAAGAGAAAGGGGACAAAAGAGATTGTAAAAATTATAGAGGAATAAGTTTACTGAGTATACCAGGAAAAGTATACGGTAGGGTTATAATTGAAAGAATTAGAGGTAAGACAGAATGTAGAATTGCGGACGAGCAAGGAGGCTTCAGAGTGGGTAGGGGATGTGTAGATCAAGTATTTACATTGAAGCATATATGTGAACAGTATTTAGATAAAGGTAGGGAAGTTTTTATTGCATTTATGGATTTAGAAAAGGCATATGATAGAGTGGATAGAGGAGCAATGTGGCAGATGTTGCAAGTATATGGAATAGGTGGTAAGTTACTAAATGCTGTAAAGAGCTTTTATGAGGATAGTGAGGCTCAGGTTAGGGTGTGTAGAAGAGAGGGAGAATACTTCTCGGTAAAAGTAGGTCTTAGACAGGGATGTGAAATGTCACCATGGTTGTTTAATATATTTATAGATGGGGTTGTAAAAGAAGTAAATGCTAGGGTGTTCGGAGAGGGGTAGGATTAAATTATGGGGAATCAAATTCAAAATGGGAATTGACACAGTTACTTTTTGCTGATGATACTGTGCTTATGGGAGATTCTAAAGAAAAATTGCAAAGGTTAGTGGATGAGTTTGAGAATGTGTGTAAAGGTAGAAAGTTGAAAGTGAACATAGAAAAGAGTAAGGTGATGAGGGTATCAAATGATTTAGATAAAGAAAAATTGGATATCAAATTGGGGAGGAGGAGTATGGAAGAAGTGAATGTTTTCAGATACTTGGGAGTTGACGTGTCGGCGGATGGATTTATGAAGGATGAGGTTAATCATAGAATTGATGAGGGAAAAAAGGTGAGTGGTGCGTTGAGGTATATGTGGAGTCAAAAAAACGTTATCTATGGAGACAAGAGAAGGGAATGTATGAAAGTATAGTAGTACCAACACTCTTATATGGATGTGAAGCTTGGGTGGTAAATGCAGCAGCGAGGAGACGGTTGGAGGCAGTGGAGATGTCCTGTCTAAGGGCAATGTGTGGTGTAAATATTATGCAGAAAATTCGGAGTGTGGAAATTAGGAGAAGGTGTGGAGTTAATAAAAGCATTAGTCAGAGGGCAGAAGAGGGGTTGTTGAGGTGGTTTGGTCATTTAGAGAGAGTGGATCAAAGTAGAATGACATGGAAAGCATATAAATCTATAGGGGAAGGAAAGAGGGGTAGGGGTCATCCTCAAAAGGGTTGGAAAGAGGGGGTAAAGGAGGTTTTGTGGGCGAGGGGCTTGGACTTCCAGCAAGCGTGCATGAGCGTGTTAGATAGGAGTGAATGGAGACGAATGATACTTGGGACCTGACGATCTGTTGGAGTGTGAGCAGGGTAATATTTAGTGAAGGGATTCAGGGAAACCGGGTTATTTTCATATAGTCGGACTTGAGTCCTGGAAATGGGAAGTACAATGCCTGCACTTTAAAGGAGGGGTTTGGGATATTGGCAGTTTGGAGGGATATGTTGTGTATCTTTATACGTATATGCTTCTAAGCTGTTGTATTCTGAGCACCTCTGCAAAAGCAGTGATAATGTGTGAGTGTGGTGAAAGTGTTGAATGATGATGAAAGTATTTTCTTTTTGGGTATTTTCTTTCTTTTTTGGGTCACCCTGCCTCGGTGGGAGACGACCGACTTGTTGAAAAAAAAAAAAATCTAGAAGTATTTGCCACATTGGTAATAGTATCAGAAAAAAAATTCTTAAATCATTGTATAGGTATGCCAAATCTAAGGTGAGAATAATATCTAGTATTGGACCCCAGCATAGACGAGATGGGACCTACACAGATGATAGCAAAGAAATAAGTGAGATACTAAAGTCTCAGTATGAGTCGGTGTTCAACGAGCCGTTAACCAGACTAAGGGCCGACAGTCTAAATGAATTTTTTTGACTGAGACTCCAAATTTGGCCACTTCAAAAATCTTATATTATCCTAACACCACAAGACTTCGAAAAGGCAATGACATGCCCAAGCACTCTGACCCAGGTCCGGACTCGTGGAACTCCACGTTCATCAAGAACTACAAGAATCCCCTATCATGGGCCTTCAACATTCTGTGGAGAGGGAGCATGTACACAGGTGTCATCCCACAGTCACTAAAAACAGCAGACATAGCCCCCACTCCACAAAGGTGGCAGTAAAGCAAGTGCAAAGAACTACAGACTGATAGCGCTAACATCCCATGTCATTAAAATCTTCGAAAGGGTTCTGTGAAGTAAGATTTCCAAGCACCTAGATACCCATTAGTTACACAACACAGGGCAACATGGGTTTAGAGCAGGTCGCTCCTGTTTATCCCAGCTACTGGACCACTACGACAAGGTCCTGGATGCTTTAGAGGATAAACAAAATTCAGATGTAGTATACACAGACTGTGCTAAAGCCTTCAACAAGTACGACCATGGTGTAATCGCGCACAAAATGCATGACAAAGGAATAACAGAAAAAGTTGGTAGATGGATCTATAACTTACTAATGGAACACTAAATGTAATAGTAAACAGAGAAAACTCTGAGGTGGCTACAGTGAAAAGCTCTGTTCCACAAGGCACAGTATTCGCTCCCATCCTGTTCCTCATTCTAATATCTGACATAGACAGAGATGTAAGCCATAGCTCCGTGTCTTCCTTTGAGGATGACACTCAAATTGCCGTGAGTGTCCTCCATCGAAGACACTGCAAGTCTCTAAGCGAACATCAACCAAATCTTTAAATGGGCCGCAGAATAAACAATGTGAAGTTCATTGAAGAGAAATTTCAACTACTTATATATGGAAAACTTGAGGAAATTAAAACTTTATCAGAGTATAAAACAAATTCTAACCACACAAAATGAAAAACTAATGTGAAAGACCTGGGAGTGATAATGTCAGAGGATCTCATCTTCAGAGACCAAAACAATGTATCTGTGTCATCTGCTAGAAAAACGATAGGATGAATAATGAGACCCTTCAAAACTACGGATGCAAAACCTGTGATGATTCTCTTCAAATCGCTTGTTCTCTCTAGGCCAGAATACTGCTGTACACTAACTGCCCCCTTCAAGGCACGTGTAATTGCTGACCTGGAGAATGTACAGAGAAATTTCACGGCATTCATAAGTATGATAAAGCACCTAAATTACTGGGAATGGTTGAAGTCCCTTGATTTGTATTCCCTGGAATACAGGTGAGAAAGATGCATGATAATATACACTTGGAAAATCCTAGAGGGATTAGCACCAAACTTGCACACATCTTTCACTCCCTATGAAAGCAAAAGACTCAGCAGGAGATGCAACATTCCCTCGATGAGATGGGGGGGGGGCATGAGTACACCAAGAGACAACACAGTAAGTGTCAGGGGCCCAAGACTGTTCATCTGCCTCCTATCATACATAAAGTAGATTACAAATAGACCCCTGTCTGTCTCCAAGAAGGTGCTGGACAGGCACCTAAAGTCAGTACCTGATCAGCCGGGCTGTGGTTCGTACCTCAGTTTACATGCGGCCAGCAGTAACAGCCTGGTTGATCACACACTGATCCGCTATGAGGCCTGGTCTCAGACTGGGTCACAGGAGCGTTGACCCCCAAAACCCTCTCCAGGTAAACTCCAGGTACATATTAATGTTCTCACTTTCCACAATTTCATAGTTAACTGTTCTTGCATTAACTTTGCATTAACTTTTTAAAATGCTTTTTGCTAAATAATTAAATCTAAAACCCAAAAGAATTATTCAGAAATCATTAAGAATTTTAGCATAGTGTATTTTTAGATAGTGAGTGGAGACAAATGGTTTTTATGGCTTGACGTACTAATGGAGTGTGGGCAAAGTAACATTTATGAAAGGATTCAGGAAAAACGGCAAGCCGGACTTGAGTCCTGGAGGTGGGAGGTACAGTGCCTGCACTCTGAAGGAGGAGTGTAGGCGCGCCTCTCACAAGACAGTGATGGAGTGAGTGATGATGAAAGTGTTTCTTCTTTTTTGGGTCACCCTGCTTCAGGAAACAACTGATGTGTTAAACCTTTCAGGGTCGACAGGCCCTCTCCCAAACTTGTTTTCAGGATTGAAAAATATTTAAAAAAAATATATATATTTTTCTCTCTTTTCTTTTTACGATCAATACTTAAGGAGATACGGAGGTGTGAAGCTGACAGAAATTGAACTGCATACCACTACATCGCCGACTGCTGGTCACCCGGCAATAGTTTTTTTTTTTCTACTTTTTTCTTTTATTTTTTAATATTTTTAGAGTAACTTTTATGGTTTCTTGAGACCAATATATATTCACTCATTGTATACTACACAATAACAGCACAAACTTTGCTGTCATTATATTGTTTACAAAACATGTTTACACAAACAACAATAAAAAATGTTACTATTTTTCTATCACATGTATATACATATAAAGTCACTGGACACTTCCCAGAACTGCTACAGCTTCTGTAAATCTTGTAGTTGTTGTGTGGGGGTTGCCTTGTAAATCTGCTGAGTCATCGGCATAATTAGTGTCACAATGACAAATGACACCATCACTCACCACCCTCACTGCCTGTCACCACCCTCACTGCCTGTCACCACCCTTGCTGCCTGTCACCGCCCTCACTGCCTGTCACCACCCTCACTGTCTGTCAACTTCCTCCCCACCCTACCAACCCACGTGGAAATAAGTCACTGTCTGAATTTTTTTGGGTTATCTTAGGTTGGCCTCCTTCCTTACTTCCTCCCTCCCTTCCCTCCTTCCTCCCTCCTTCCTCTCATCACTTCCTTCCTTCCTTCCTTCCTTCCTTCAGGTTTCCTGGGCATTGCTTTCGGTCACAAACTCCTCAAAACCATGAAATTCATCTTCAGTGACACTTCCATCTGTGTTTGAACTGTCACTTGGGAAAAAGAGCCCCAATTAACCAAGGAGTGAGGAGTTTCTTAGCACTAGACATGGTGAACAAGGTGTAATAAAATGGCTTTCCTACAATGCACCACTGGGTCCCCAATTTTTTTTGTACTGCACACACTATCTATGGAGACCCATTCTCTCACATCTAGGCCTACCAGCCTTTTCCTGCTTGATTTGAGGACGCTAGAATTTATGCGTACTAGTACGTCAATAACCCTGGTGCGTAAGACGTACTAGTACGTCAAAAACCCTGAAAGGGTTAATAATTTTTTTTAACACACAGGCAATTTCCCACCAAAGCAGGGTGACCCAAAAAAGAAGAAACACTTTCACCATCATTTGCTCTATCACTTTCTTGCCAGACACATGCTGACATCGCAGCTCGGATGTCCCTCCAAACTGCAACTTTTCCACCCCTCCTTCAGAGTGCAGGAACTGTGCTTCCCACCCCCCAGGACTCAAATCTGGCTAACTGGTTTCCCTGAATCCCTTCACAAAATGTTTCCTTGCTCACACTCCAACAGCCCATTAAGTTCCAAAAACCATTTGCTTTCACTCCTATTTAACATGCTCACACATTCATGCTGGAAGTCCAAGCCCTTCATACACAAAACCTCCTTTACCCCCTCCCTCCAGTCTTTCCTAGGGCAATGCCTACTCTACTTTCCTTCTACTACAGATTTATGCACCCTCCAAGTCATCCTATTTTGCTCCAGCTTCTCTAAATGTCCAAACCACCTCAACAACCCTTCCTCAGCCCTCTGGATAATAATTTTAGTATCCACACACCACCTTATCTACAAGCCACAAAGTTTCTGCATAATATTTACACCATACGTTGCCCTCAGACATGACATCTCCACTACCTCCAGCCTCCTCCTCCTCATTGCAACTTTCACAATCCATGCTTCACACCCATGTGTGTGTGGCATTCACTTTTTCCATACTTCCTTCTTCCAATCTGATATCCAGTCTTTCATTACCCAGATCACTTGTTACCCTCATCATGTTGCTCTTTCCTATGTTCACTTTTAATTTCCTTCTTTTACAAACACTCCCAAATTTGTCCACCAACCTTTGCAATTTCTCTTCAAAATCTCCCGAAAGTGCACTGTCATCAGCAAAAAGCAACTGTGACAATTCAATTTTGTAATTGATAATGTATATTTTAGCCTAACACTTTTCATCCACTTCTTTTACCCACCATTTCCCCCCCCCCCTCCACACACACACACTTTCACTCACCAAAAATCTAATATTTTTGTCATTTTGGAAAGAAATATGCTATTTGCTCTCAGATGATGGCAAGAAACAGATTATAAAACTACTTCATAGAAAACATCTCAATATTTCTATTTTAAACCAAACATTAGGTCAAAGGTTTGATCTTCCTGTCATGCCCCATGTTGGGTAAGATTTCTTATAACTCAAGAAATCGTAATGACATAATTGAAAACAAACTGTAGCAGTTTATGCGCTGGCTGGGAGTTTTATGAATCTTTCGTCACGAGTTCAATCCCCGTCCTTGGTATGGTTTGGTAAGATTTCTCATACTGTGCACTCTCATCACACAGGCCTATTCTTTCACATCAAAGACCAAACTTTACCGCTCACAGCATATTTGAGGGATCTGTGCTTAAAACTTAGCTCTACATGAGCGACAATGGCATCAGTGATGTAGAGCTACTTGGGAGACAGTAAAAGGGTTAATTGGTGCCAGAGAGCCCTTATCATAAGTGTGGAAAAGTGTTAGTTTCAACATCATAAGGTGGGGCCTTACTGTAATTACAAATTGAAGATTTTATGAAATTATGATAAAAATAATTTCAGTTTTGTAGACTTAATGCTATCCTACCTTGGTTATGTATTTAGGGTACCATAGTTGAATAATGTTCTTGCAGGTGGTGTGTATGGCTCAGAAGGCTTCTTGGGTTGCATGAGGCGGATCTCTGTAGTTGGATTTATGCAGAAACCCCAGGAAGATGTAAGTAAAACATTTGAAAATATATACTGATTTTTGTGACAACTAGCAAGTATTCATGAAGAAATTGAAGGGAGATTTTTCAAAATGATTGTTTGGTGTTTGATGTTTGTCAAGACCTCAAAAAAGTCAAGGATGACCCAGATATTGTTTCTAAAGTCATTACTGGTGATGAAACTTGGATCTACTGCTATGACTGAGAGACCAAGCAACAGTCTTTGCGCCAAGTTTAGAGCAGTGTCAGGACCACGATCGTGTGTTTTTTTTTTTTTTTTATTAATGTGGGAAACATCAGGAACTTGTTCCAGCAGGGCAGACAGTTAACCCAAATTTTTACATCTAGGTTCTGGAAGGTTTGAGAGAGGATGTGAGAAGGAAACATCTGGCATTGTGGGTGTACAACAATTGGTTCACTCACTGTGCCAATACACCTACTCACACAACACTGTCTTGCCACCATTTTCTGGCCAAAAACATGGTGGTCGTCCCCTACACTCCCAGCTCTCCCAAATCTTGCCCCACCCTCTTCCCCTGTGACTTCTTTCTCACCGAAAATTAAATTGGCACTTGAGGGGTGGCATTTTAATGACATGGAGGGAATTCAAGCAGACTTACAGGCCATGCTAGATGCAGTTAGGAGAGATGAGTTTCAGAAATGTTTTGAGAAGTGGCAGATGTGCTGGGATTAGTGTATAGCCTCCTAAGTAGAGAGAGAGAACTTAAAGTAGGTGATTAGGTAAGCTTATATCCATTTTTTTTTTTCAAACAGTACAGGAACTTTTTATAGCACCCACCTTGTACTGCACAGAAAAACCCCACAGATTTGGGGGGAGGGAAGCAAAAATTGCTCTGGGAAATTGCAAGTGTTTTGAACTTAGGGTGTTGGTTTAGCAGTGCTCCACTGTACTAGACTAAGAATTCATTGTCATTTAAGTTACAACCTTTGTTTCTTTTCTGTATGGCAGTTCTATTTGCTTTGGCACTTTTAAATTTTGCAGTTATAAGAAGTATGTACCCCAGTATTGACTAGTGTAAATAACTTATACTTTTATAATTTTTAATGCAGATTGTTTTCACAGGTTAAATTTAAAATAATTGTCTTAACTCCTTCATATACAACATATTAGTAGTTTTTTAAATTTTTTAATTATACTATAGTGTACTTACTATGCAGCATTATGATTTTTATTAAGACTAGTAAACATTATTGTAAAAATCTCTCATTTGTTAGGAAATCAGTGACAAAACTGGTGTGGTTCTGGCTGCCTGCCAGATCATGGATCGTTGTGACCCCAACCCATGTGAACATCGAGGACGTTGCAAGCAGAACTCACGCGAGTTTTTCTGTGATTGCTCTGGCACTGGCTACTCTGGTGCTGTGTGTCACACATGTGAGTTCTTCACTGAAGTTTTAAATCTGAATGAATTTTTAATTAACTGACCTGCCTAAACAATTTTATTTGTTCAGATTACATTTTTTACACCTTAATAATTAAGACCACATGCCATTATTTACTGTTTTCTGATTTTACACACCTCAATCAGACTTCTCAAATGCATTAAGCATAATAAATAAACGTTCATTATATACATTCATCCATAACACATTATTTTCCAGATATGGTGGGCATTTCTGGTAATTTAAAAGCATTCAGGGTTTAAGAATTTTGTATATATTGTATATTACAGCTCTCAATCCAGTATCTTGTGCTGCATATGGCATCCAGCACCCTGGAACCAAACGTGCTGAAGTATATATTGATGTTGATGGTTCTGGCCCTCTTGTGCCTTTCCCTGTCACCTGTGAATTTTATAGTAAGTACACCTGATTGCCTTTGATCAAGTAGCAACCTTCTGGTGTTCAAATTTTCTAGTGCCATCAGTTAATGCTACTGAACAATGAAAATAGCTTTATGCAAATAAGTATTTATTGCCTTTCTTTCATATAAGGGGCATTGTGAGGTACACTTGTGACAAAATTTATAGCTCTTTGCCTAGTGTATGTGCTGGTTCATGGTAAATCACTTAATGCTGATATTTTGCCTAAGACTAACACTTAATTTACGTGTACATAAGTAAAAGAATGCATGTTAACCCTTTGAGGGTTTTCGTCGTACTAGTACGTTTTACGCGTAGGGGTTTTTGACGTACTAGTACTCATAAATTCTAGCGGCCTCAAATCTAGTGGGAGAAAGCTGGTAGGCCTTCATATGAAAGAATGGGTCTATGTGGTCAGTGTGCACAGTCTAAAAAAAAACCTGCAGCACACAGTGCATAATGACAAAAAAAAAACTTTGACCATTTTTTTTAATAAATCAGCGACTTTGCAGTGTATTTTCGTATGGTATTTATTGTTGTATTCTAGTTTTCTTGGTCTCATTTTATAGAATGGAAGACATATTACAGAAATTGAGATGATTTTGACTGGTTTTACAATGAAAGGTGCCTTGAAATTGAGCTCAAAGTAGCAGAAATGTTCGATTTTTACCAAACTTCAAAAGTAAACAAATCGTGCCAAGCGTGCAATACACGTCAACTGGTGAGTCTAATATTCTTTCACAAGTGCACCAATAATATTTATACCATTTTTTACACTAATGCAGTAGTCTGCATAACAGTAAATCTTATATTTTTTGTGAAAATAAAAATTCAAAGTGGAAAGCAAAAGAATATAAGAGGGGACTTGAGACATGACTAATGACTAGAGGAAATGTCATTTTAGTGCCAGGAATGTCTTTCTTGTTTATTCTGGACCCTATTCGGAAATTGGCATCTTTTGAAATTTGTGTGAAATTGGCAAAATTGCTAAATCTGACCACTGTACTGGATAGTTGAATTTCATAAATGAGTGGTTTCTTGCATCCATTCGATAGAAAAAATGGAGTTCTAGCAAAATATTCATGTTTTTTGTCGACTAGTACAGTGAAATTGGCCGAAAATGGGGCTCAAAGTGGGCAAAATCGCCGATGCGTAAACATCGCCGAGACTGCTAACTTTGCGAGAGCATAATTCCATAAGTTTTCTATCAAATTTCAAACTTTTGGTGTCTTTATGATCGGGAAAAGATTCTCTATCTTTTGATAAGAGAAAATAATTTTTTTTTTTTTTTTAAATTTAGCCGACCCTGAGAACGAGTTTCGGAGAGGGCCTGTCAACCCTCAAAGGGTTAAAGATACAAGATTAATACCATGTGATTGTTGCTACTTACCACTTGCTTCTAACCAAACTTTGATAATGTTTTCCTACTAAGTTACTGTTTTCAGAATGCTAATTGAATCTGTATTAAATTATGTAAATGGAAAGCTGTTTAACTTGTCTTAAACGATTAGTTTAAGTTATTCATTTAGGGACAGACATTTCTTAAAACTTCGATTTTACGCTGTAGGAGTTTATAATTTTCCGAGGACCAAGACGAAGCTCACAATTATGTGAGGATTCAATATGGATGTGGAGTGGGTAGTTGCCAATTTATTTTTATTAAGGAATCTCTGATGTTAGTCCCCATGTTGTACCTGGTGAATGCTGCTGCTGCTTTTTTTTTTTTTTACATAGGGTTTGACAAGGTTAGGTTAATGGTTCCGAACTTTATTTACAAGCTATTGACAAGTTAAGGGTTCTCAGCTTTATTGACAAGCTAATAGCTGTTACTGACATCAGCTCATTTGAAAGCCTTTTTATTGTTATGAAACATGCAAGTAGGGAACAGGATGAAGTTGGAGCCATCTGTTGGCTAGCATTTTCATTTAATCAACTGGCTTTATCTCACCGATATCATTATGTTGTATGAACATGTTCCAGGCTCGAGTTATCCTGGGAATAAATGATCTCAGATGAAATGATGTTCTGGTGAACAAGTGACTTCAAATTTTCATTGCTGAGTTATAACTGCACTGGAAACTTATGTAGCACTTTGAACTTGTGGTGTTGAACTGTAGAGAGATTTAGGTTGACCTATAACAAGTTTGGTTAGTTGAGTAAATGTATTAATACATTCAAGTTTAAGATTTTTAGGTTATTTTGTCTTGTGTTATCAAATCTGCCTAAAAAAGTAAGGTATTGTATATACAGTGGAACCTCTACTGGTGAGTTTAATCCGTTCCATGACCTTGCTCGCAACTGGATTTGCTCGTTTGCAGAGTCAATTTTCCTCATTTAAATTAATTGAAATGCAATGATCCGTTCCAGTGGAATTCTGTACTTCAATAGTTTCGCTAATATCAACTCTACGGCTTATTTATCTATCTCGCTTCATTTAATATGACATAATATACAATATAAATAACTTAGAAACCTGATATATACTCTAAAATGAATAAAATATATCATTCATGTAGCAGTGTTGGCAGTGGAGGAGAGAGTGGCTGGACACCGGGCAAAATACTTAATGAACAATTTCGCTAATATCATCTATACGGCTTATTTATCTATCACAGTTCACCTAGTATGACATAACAAACAATATGAATAACATAGAAACATGATATACACTCTAGAATGAATAAAATATGTCATTCGTGTAGTGGTATGGACGGTGTCGGCGGTGGATGAGAGTTTGTCTGGAGACCGGGCAAAATTCTTCATTAATAATTTCGCTAATATCATCTATACGGCTTATTTATATATCACAGTTCATCTAATATGACATAACAGACAATGTAAATAACATAGAAATGCGATATATACTCTAGAATGAATAAAATGTGTCATTATGTAACAGGTGGAGGCGGCCACAACCGCTCCCTCTTTGTTGTGGTAAACACTGCCATCTAGTGACGGCCTTTTGAAGCCGTCTATTATTATAATTATTATATGTAGCACATTATTATTATATATGTATTATATATGCAAAAACAGTGATAATGTGCGAGTGTGGTGAAAGTGTTGAATGATGATGAAAGTATTTTCTTTTTGGGGATTTTCTTTCTTTTTTGGGTCACCCTGCCTCGGGGGGAGACGGCCGACTTGTTGAAAAAAAAAAAAAAAAAAAAAATGTATTATTATTATTATACATATATTATTATTATTGTATTATACTATTATTATTATTTTTTTTTTCCCAACAAGTCGGCCGTCTCCCACCGAGGCAGGGTGACCCAAAAAAGAAAGAAAATCCCCAAAAAGAAAATGATTTCATCATCATTCAACACTTTCACCACACTCACACATAATCACTGTTTTTGCAGAGGTGCTCAGAATACAACAGTTTAGAAGCATACACATATAAAGATACACAACATATCCCTCCAAACTGCCAATATCCCAAACTCCTCCTTTAAAGTGCAGGCATTGTACTTCCCATTTCCAGGACTCAAGTCCGACTATATGAAAATAACCGGTTTCCCTGAATCCCTTCACTAAATATTACCCTGCTCACACTCCAACAGATCGTCAGGTCCCAAGTACCATTCGTCTCCATTCACTCCTATCTAACACGCTCACGCACGCTTGCTGGAAGTCCAAGCCCCTTGCCCACAAAACCTCCTTTACCCCTCTCTCCAACCCTTTCGAGGACGACCCCTACCTCGCCTTCCTTTCCCTATAGATTTATATGCTTTCCATGTCATTCTACTTTGATCCATTCTCTCTAAATGACCAAACCACCTCAACAACCCCTCTTCTGCCCTCTGACTAATACTTTTATTAACTCCACACCTTTTCCTAATTTCCACTCTCCGAATTTTCTGCATAATATTTACACCACACATTGCCCTTAGACAGGACATCTCCACTGCCTCCAACCATCTCCTCGCTGCTGCATTTACCACCCAAGCTTCACACCCATATAAGAGTGTTGGTACTACTATACTTTCATACATTCCCTTCTTTGCCTCCAAAGATAACGTTTTTTGACTCCACATATACCTCAATGCACCACTCACCTTTTTTTTTCCTCATCAATCTATGATTAACCTCATCCTCCATAAATCCATCCGCTGACAACGTCAACTCCCAAGTATCTGAAAACATTCACTTCTTCCATACTCCTCCTCCCCAATTTGATATCCAATTTTTCTTTATCTAAATCATTTGATACCCTCATCACCTTACTCTTGTCTATGTTCACTTTCAACTTTCTACCTTTACACACATTCTCAAACTCATCCACTAACCTTTGCAATTTTTCTTTAGAATCTCCCATAAGCACAGTATCATCAGCAAAAAGTAACTGTGTTAATTCCCATTTTGAATTTGATTCCCCATAATTTAATCCCACCTTTCTCCCGAACACCCTAGCATTTACTTCTTTTACAACCCCATCTATAAATATATTAAACAACCATGGTGACATTACACATCCCTGTCTAAGACCTACTTTTACTGGGAAGTAGCCTCCCTCTCTTCTGCACACAATAACCTGAGCCTCACTATCCTCATAAAAACTCTTTACAGCATTTAGTAACTTACCACCTATTCCATATACTTGCAACATCTGCCACATTGCTCCCCTATCCACTCTATCTTATGCCTTTTCTAAATCCATAAATGCAATAAAAACTTCCCTACCTTTATCTAAATACTGTTCACGTGTATGCTTCAATGTAAACACTTGATCTACACATCCCCTACCCACTCTGAAACCTCCTTGCTCATCCGCAATCCTACATTCTGTTTTACTTCTAATTCTTTCAATTATAACCCTACCGTACACTTTTCCTGGTATACTCAATAAACTTATTCCTCTATAATTTTTACAATCTCTTTTGTCCCCTTTCCCTTTATATAAAGGGACTATACATGCTCTCTGCCAATCCCTAGGTACCTTCCCCTCTTTCATACATTTATTAAACAAAAGTACCAACCACTCCAACACTATA